ATTTTCTTTTTACTTAAGAAAAAAAAAATATGTATGATTCTTTGGAGTTTGTTACAGCCAATGGTCCCTTCTCTAAAAGGTTGTTCTGAGGATGCTGCATTGTGGCATAGATTGACTCCTTCAACTTACATATTTTCAAAGTTAACTTTGTCCTTTTCCTTCCATCCCTGTCCAATAATTGGTAGCATCAGAGTACTGCAGACCTCCAGAAAAGTTTGGGCTTTCACTCCAGTGGGTTATTTACATTTTCCAAACCCAAGATGTTTCTGAAATGGAGTAGTGCTGATAGGTCTCTTTTCATTTCGAAATGAATTGCATCCAGTCCCATGGGTTGTTGTGTTTGGCATGGGCTTCTCAGGTGTGCTGGTGGTTGTTGTTATGCCAAATACATAATTAAGGTAATGTTTATTAATGGAAAGATTTGGTTTGGATTTTTAGGTTTTGGGGATTTTTTTTACCTCTTAGAAATGGTGAATATTTACAAGCTTTATTTCTGTATTTTACTTCTGGAAAACTAATGTGCATGTCTGTTTTGCAGGCAGATTTTAGTTTGTTACTGGAAGAGGCACAAACATAAAATGTGGGGTTTGTTTTTTGTTTTTCTCCTTTTTTCCAGAAAAGAGATGATAGCCCAGCAACGAGAGTATAAAAAGAAGAAAGCTTTGAAAAAAGCTCAGAGAATTAAAGAACTTGAGCAGGAACGAGAGGACCAGAAAGTCAAGTGGCAACAGTTCAACAACAGAGCCTATTCTAAAAACAAAAAAGGCCAGGTTTGTTTACTTTTGTCAGTATGTGAGTAGCAACAGGGCATAGACTTCTGTGCAATACCTTGGGAGAGAGAAGGAGATGCTTAAAGGGATGCAACATGGTGTCTTTGGGATTCTGAAGTGTGCATTTTTGTATTTTGTGCACTTCAGATGCCTGGTTTACTGGATTGTTTTGCTGCTCCTCAGAGAGAGCTTGCACTTGGCTGGGAGAGCTGGGCTTGCATTAGTTGCCAGCTGGTGTTTGTTGGAGCCAAGAACCTGAGGGCCCCTCTAAACCTCCAAGTCTGGCTTCTTGTTATGTTTATGACCCAGCAGACACAGTGCTGAGGATGTGGCTTGGAACAGCAAGTGCAGGGCAAGAAAGGTAGTGAGGGTACAAATTCTTACTCCATTTCTGTCTTGGCTTGACCAAGAGCTGCCAGACGGAGTGGTAAAACTTCAATTTTCCTTTTGAGCAACTAGAGATGCCCTTATGAGAGGTGAATTTTAGTCATTATTTGGCTTGACCTGAGATTCTCAGTACCACAATCACATCCAGTACTGAGATGCCAGAAGCTCCCAGCCCCATTGCTTCACTCAGTGACAACACATCACTGCTGAGCTGGCCATTAGAAAGTGTGCCCATCTGTAGGGCAAAAGTTGAGAATGTTGAAGCACTTCAGATGGTAATGATTGCTTGGTTTTTGTTTTTTTGTTTTTTTTGTAAAATCCAGCTAGTAATTATTCAGAAATGGTGTTTTCCATTTTCTTTCCAGGTGAAAAGGAGTATTTTTGCTTCCCCTGAGAGCGTAACTGGCAAGGTTGGCGTTGGAACATGTGGAATTGCAGACAAACCTATGACACAGTATCAAGATACCTCTAAATATAATGTCAGGCATCTGATGCCTCAGTAACAGATGAAAAGGGTGGAACTTCATCTCTGCAGGGCTTTACACTTACCTTTTTATCATTATATTTTTCTAAAAGTAAATTATTTGTTGGCACATAGTGAGTAGTCCATTTTGTCACCATCACTTTGGCTTCAGCTGATTTGAGCCTTAAATCTCCAGCTATTGATTTAAACTCCCCCCCAACCATTAAACTTTTTGTAGCAGGTAAATGTTCATGAACTGCTGTTGCCTATTACTTTCAAAGCAGTATTTGTCTGCAGCTTTGAATCTTTCAGTCATACCAGTAGTGAAGGGTTTGTTTTTATTCCCCCTCTACAAAAAGTGGTGGTATAAAAATGGCACTATAAGAGTCTCCCTGGTTTCTGTAGTCACGGTGCTCTCTGTGACACACTCAGCATTACATAGTAGCTGCAGCTCTGGGAGAGAGCTTACATGTCACATGGAATTGCTAAGGAAGTTTAAATAACACTCTAAGAAATCCACTGCAGATTGATTTGTATAGCTGTAAATGAGGGCAGAACAGGGCTGATAGGATCTTTATTACTAATGATCACTTATGTTCCAGCAACAACAAATTTGGCTTAATTCCAGTCCAAATTTTTTGCTTTTGAATTGAAGCAGAGGAGATGCTGTTTCTTGTTAGTCCTTTTTCTTTGTATGTTTTATAAATACTCATCAAATTATAATAGGAAGTTAATGAAATGTAACCAGAAAACCATAGGACAAGGAACTGTACTTAAGAGTCCCCACCCATCCTCAGGGATCAGAGCTGGAGTGTAACTGGTTGTGCTGTGGAAAGGAGCTGTCCTGTCCTCCCTTGTAGATATTGTAGGTGTGTTGGTACATTCACAGACCTGTTGGTACAGTCACAGCAGTGACAGTTTGTGCCTGGACCCCCAGCCAGACAAGGAGAACCACAGCACAGCAGATACAAATGCCTAGATCCCACTTAGTTAGTTGTGAGTGAGTAAAGGTTAGCTGGGAGTTTCTGTCCTTACATAACTGACTGGCCCTAGTGTCCATTGTACCTTCAGCTGTATTACAGTGCTGCTGAGCCCCTTCAATTTTCTTCAGGAATCCACGTGTAAAAGCTCTTGCTTTTTTGTACTCTCTCTGTGATTTGCTTTCCTCTGTTCCTTGTCTCACACTTACGGTAGTGATGCCACCTCTGAACCCGTAATGTGTTTAAAGAAGTTAATGGGTAGCCCTGTATACAATGTAGATATTATTTTTGTAAAATCTAGGGCTGAGTTAATGGACAAGAGTACATCAGCTATTTCCCCCATTAAATAAAATGTGTGTCTTGTCCATTAACCCTGACCATTATTTCCCTGTATATTATGTTAATGTAGCTCATTTTGTAATTTGTTAACTAGATCAGGTCACGTCAGCAATTGTTGATGCACTGATTGGTGGAAATGTCCATCAGTTACCTGAGTCACAACTCAAGCTAAACTCTACAAGCGGTAGTTTAGAATCCATACATAGAAAAAGGTTCTCCCTATATTGGGAGAAAGTGATTTTTATGAATACAAAGTGTGTTAATTTCAGTTTTGTATGTTTAACTTTTATTAAATAAAGTGTTTAAAATCTGCTGGCTATATTTGGTGAAGTGGAATTATTTTTGGGGGAAGGATAATAGTAAATCATCAGGATAGGGGTGAGTACAGCACAATCTGCTGGACAGAATATCATACTCAAAATTGGTGCTGAAATACAACACACTCATTGCAGGATGAAGTAGGTGTTGCTTAATTCCTCATCTTCACTGGTACCAGGGGCATTAAATTTTCTTTTGCATAGAAAACATCTCAAGAGTAAAATAATCTGCTGTTTAGAAAGGGAGTTTGTACTGCAGCCTGCAGCTAGAGACGCATCCCAGCAGTGACATTAACTGGGAGCCAGTCATGCCATACTGACAGCTCCATGCTGAGGAAGGTCACCTGTCGTCTTTCACAGGTGGCTGTGATCCACTGTCCCTTTCATTTATCCAAAAGAAACATTTTGAAGTCAGAACTGACACATGCTAAAGCAGGCACAACTGGAGTTTTCAGGAAGCCTATTCTGAACTCCACCTGTTCTTTTAATAGAAAATAGTCTTTGGAAAAGAAGGCTCACTTCATACCTGACATGCACTACATCTGCTTATCTTTAATGCAATGAATACCATGGTCAATAAACCATCCCTATTTGTTTATTATTTGTTCACTAGTCCTGGAGAGCAACGGTGTGAGTCATCAGAACACAAGGGGTGTGTGAACCTCCCCTGCAAGGGACAGTCCTTGCTGAAGCTTATTCTTCTTCACTTAAACATCCTTCAAGATGAAAATTAATCCTTGCTGAAGCTGTACCCTTGCTGTATTAAGGCTTCACACATGTCTGCAGCACAGCAGTCTGCAAGACAAGATGTTGGAGGACTTGCTAAAGGCCACCCCATCACTTGCTCCAGGCCTTATTGGGGTACTACAAACCAAGGGGCAGATTTTTTCCAGTGTGATAAAAATGAATTGCTACCCACAGCTTTTACAGCATGTTTAATGTTGAAGATCTTTCCCAAAAGAAGTGACATTTCACGCCTTTGACCTGCATCAGCCAGGCCAGCAGCACTGTGTGACTCAAGTGTTCAGCTCATACAAGCCCACACCTCAAAGGACACATCCACCCTTCTCAGAGGCTGCTCAGCAATCCCCGATCCTTGGCATTTTTGAAGGGGTCTCAACATATGCATGTTGTAACACAACTTCAGTTTTAGCAGCACCCAAACAGAACCCCTCCATAAAAGGTGTTGAGTACCACAGCCACAATACCAATACCCACAGACTCCCTGCTCCTGCCTCTGCCTAACAACTAAAGGGATCAGTCCTCTTCGCAGGAGGAAATGAGAGAGAAGCAGAGGCCAGGGCTGGTGTATTATTCCCAGTTAAACAACCTGCCTTTCAGTAAAAGGAAAACATTGTCTGTGCAGACACCACTCTCCTGTACTCATCCTCCCAAATGTCACTCAAATCTGGTGGCACATTTCAAGAAAATGTGACAGCACATCAGTGTTTTTTAGGTATTTTGTGCAGACTGGGGAAGAGAGGGGCAGAAGGACACGCTCCTCTTCCCTGAGGGTCCCACAGGACAATTCAGAGATTGCATTGCTGATGCAGAGGAGTTTCAGTCACTATCAAGTCATGGAATTTCTCACACACTGGACAATATGTCCATGGGAGAAAGCTCCAGGAAATAAAAATAGGACTTTATTCTGCTTTTATATGGTTTTTCATTATTATCACCTCTCTAATCTCAGAACAAAGTCCTGTTTTTTACTATTCTCCTCCAGGAAGTGACCCTGATTTCTCTCTCCAATGATGCACATTTGGTGTCAGAAAAAATGACACAAAAAAAGCTTATGTTCCTGGGTTGGGACGAAACAGAATGACTATCTCCAGTTAGAGCACCCGATGCATCCTACTTCCACTAAAGCAAAATGTTTCATCCATTCCAACAGGGCAACACAACAAGCAGGGAACAGCATGTATAAGAGAACAAAGCAGAAAAGCAAGAGGCTGGAGTGCACAGATAGTAGCAAACAAGCAAACAAACAGACAAAAGGAAAACACAGTCACAAACCCCAGAAAATGATAAGGCTGTCTAGTTAACCCCTTTCTATTGACCTACAGATTTCTTGAGACAGACAGATGTGAGACCACCTTCGTCACTAACATGCTGCTAATGGAACGGACATTAAAATGACCTTCAAGTGACAACTCGCCACCGGATAACTGTGACAAATGCAGCCAGATAGTCATCTCTACCTTGTCTGCAGACACGAGATGACATTCCATAATACACTTGTGTCAAAAGAAGGAAAATGCTGGATGGTCTTTTTAATGGGTTTGTCTGTAGCAAAGAGACCCACCGGGGATCTAATTTACAGAAGGAGCACTTGACAGAATGAGCTTATGAGAGAGCTGTGCGTGCGTGTGCATGTGTGCCTACTGCATGGGAAGGCTGCCTCAGGAAAGTGCATCCAATTCTGCTTTTACAGGAAAGGTCACCATATTCTTGTAAGATTATAGCAACTTCCCTTAAAATTTATCATCTTGAACATTACAACACGAGAAACGACCAGCAGAAGGAGATTTGAGGAGGATGGCAGCTGTGTGAGGTAAGAAAAAGCAGAGTCTACAAAGCAGAAACAAAGCAGGGCAGGACAACTTTGAAAGGCTAGAGAAATGTTTCCATCGCGTAAGAAATTATCAAAACTTTATCTGAAATCTGCTACAAAGAACCCACCAGCACCAGAGCAACCAACCCCAAGTCTTTGGAGTTATTATAAAGGCTCTTAATTTTGTTTTCCTTGAGACCACAACACTAGAAAAGGTAGAAGATACCAAACTGCCCCAGAGCATTACAAACAAACATTTCAAATGCATTTATTCCAACCATAGATATATCACTGTTTTATACCAACTAGGAGAACACGACCATTCTCCCTCCCTTGAACTTCAGTGCTTCTCAGCCGTGGTATTTCTTCCCCAAGTGGGCATTTAACACAAACAGGAATAACAGGAAAGAGGAGGTGCTGGGACAGCTATAGAAAAGGGCTCATGAATAAATAAATTCCACTGGTATCCAACTGCTCAGCATCGGCACTACCAGTGGTCAACACTTCCGAGGAGAATAATAATGAATAAATAAATAAGGTCTTGCTAGAGCTAAAGTTTCCTACTTCTCACCACTCTACACGCTGTTCTGAGCTTTGTGTCATCCAGAGATCATATGGACCCCAAACATAAATCCAAGCAGCATTTCTTCTTTCAAAGCCCTTGGGCTCCATTTGTAACCTAGAACTTAATTCACTCTATGGCAGCCTCCTGCTCCTGCCAGGTAACCTCCCAGAAAGAAGAACAGATGGACTGAGACACTGGATTACATGCACACAAGTGAAAACACATTTAACAACTGCAACCAGATGCAAACTTAGTATGCAAATTAATTTAAAAAAACCCAGACTGAAGAGAAATCATTCATTACAGCCATGGAAAAATTATTTCTCTACTCATGCACGTGTGTTGTGCCTCTTACAGGGAATGACACATTTTGGAGAGTGGGGCAAACATCAGAGTATTTGAACACAGGCAACTTATCACAGTGCAGAAGTCTACATGAGACTTGCTCAGGATGTCACCGCAGGACCGAAGGGCACAAGAAGAACAGCAATCAGCTGAAGTGACAGGAATGACCAAGATGGAAGAACACAACTCATTTCAGATACAGAAATGTTTAATGGCGTTAAAGTGCTACTTTAATGGGGACCATATGCTAACATTTAAACACAATTCCACTGCACTGCTAAATATGGTTGTCTTTATTTTTTTACTTTATTTTACCTCTTTTTACCCAACCCTATCTAAAACAATAAAATAAAATCTAAAGGACTGAAATTAACAACCCATTCAAATCAGCAATAAGTTATGAATTTTATAAAGCATTTTTTTCCTCTTTTTTTTTCTTAGTATGAGGGGTAATTAAATTACTTAAGGATATACAAAGTATCAAACAATGCCATAGGTGAAGACTCTATTATGGTTTTTAAAACTTGGAAAACAAAATAATCCTGGCCATTAAAATGACAAAAATAAAAAAGCAAAGCCCTCAAAGTGCAGGTTAGAATGCTTGTCTTGGAGAAAATTAGAAAACATTCGCTATAACAGCTCTTAACAGCACCTGCACAGATAAGATGGCAAGGCCCTTGGGAACAGGACGTGCAGTCAAAACGTTACATTAACATGAGAGACGTGCTGAGCTTAACTAGGTTAACTACTGGACTGGAACTTCAAAAGTCAGCAAAGGGAATGATTCTACAAAGAAAACTGAAGAAACCCCCACCAAACCTGGCCTCTTCCAGCTTAGCACAGCCTTCATCCTTTGTGTGCACGGCAAAAAAAAAAGGATCTTTGCATTTCATTGGGTCAAGTGCTTCATCAAAACAGAGATCTTTTCATGGCATAAATTCATATAAAAGACATCTAAGGTTTCATATGGACAAGCTCTAAAAAGATGCATCAGACTTAGGGTGTTTTCCCTCCCAACACATTTACAAATGTTTATCAAAAAATCGCTTTAAATAAAAAGGTCATAGTGGCTCAGTATCTGGGCATGACTGTCTGGTGTGTCACCTCTCGAGTGCTGGTTTCGTTCTGCCCTCAGCTGGCCGTGTGCCTGCGAGGGGCACACATCTACCAGGGACCTGCTGGCGCTGGCACAGCCCCAGGCACGACAGCCCACCCTGTGCTGGTAGATTACAGGTGTGTACCTCTTGCTTTAGCCACGCTTCAGAGGTACTCACTGTTTAAATGATGCCCAACAGAAAGCTGAGTTGAATGGTGTTCTCCCCTGAACATCGCTGCCCCTCTCCCTCTGGGCACAGAATGAGACCTTAATCATTATTGTCATTGTTATTCCTAGCCTTCTTAGATTTCCTAGTACATTATGACAGCATTAGATTGTGATAAACTGTAGGATACAGTCCTTTTAGGACCACAAAAGCTCTTCAGAAGGGCCTAAATTAGGTTGTTCAACCTGAATGCAGTGTAGAAAATTTTGACATTTCTCAGATCTCATGACAGAAAGAGAGGGATGAGTAGTATCCTCTTTCAAACAATTTCAAATAAATTCAAAACAAAGTGTTTCATCACTAAGGTCTAGATCCAGGTCCCACAGAAACAAACAGATTTCATTGACTGCAAAGGGACTAGTGTTTGGCCTAACTTTTTGCCAGCAGAAATTGGGATTGGTAACATGACCAAATGAACAAATATGGGTTTCTGGGGAGGCTTCCTTTACCCAAAAAGCTTTATATACAGGTCTCTCCAGGCCTAGCTGTCAATATGTCAATTCTGAAAGAGGATACTGGCATCTAGGACCCAGTCTGATCACCCCAGTGAAATCATTCACCCTGCACTGTTGTCTCACTTGGTTCTAGGAAGCAAACGAGAGCTTGACACTGGCGCTGGAGTAACCCTCATCACTCCCAATACTCTGCAAGCTGCTGTGATCATCAATGTCACTGATGCTGGTTGTGCTGATATTGTCCACTTCTCCATGGGAGAACTCTGTGCTTTCAACGTCCACTTCAATCTCTTCTAGAAAGGGAAATGAGAGAAACGCACACGGGTTAGCACTACACACCCAACTGCCCCTTTCATGCCAGAGAGCTCCTGGGACTCCCTCAACACTGGGAATGAAGTGGTCATCTGGCAGGAAGACTTTCAGTGTTCCCCCTGGATGGGCTGGGCTGTGGCCATGATTTATAAGAAGACTAATATCAGCTTGGAGCTTTTTGTAGGGATTTGGCAAAGGGGTTTCACTCCTCCACATGCCAGCCACACCATCAACATAGGTGAGCCACCCCACACACTGAGCTTGTCCCACTACCTCTTCCTTTGGATCTCTAATACCCCAGTGTTAGAAGAAAATAAGAAACAGATAAAATTGAGTGCAAGAGAGAAAATGGAGCATGAAGTTATCCCTAAACATGCTAGTTGCTTGACACTATATTTCTAAAGTCTGGACCACACACAATTACAATGCATTACCATGGGAATCTGGGTTACTCTCACACATGCTTAGTGGATTTTGGAACAGACATCTTGTTTTTATGAAAGACTTTAAAAGCAAAGATCTAATTAACCAGGTATCTTGGTTCTTATATTATTCAGGAATTTTCCAAAAGATTTTTGTTTTAAACTACAGACTCACACCCAAACTATGCAGCTCCTTTGGTCTGTCAGTAAATATCAAACCATCTATTGTGCCTAATGTTCTCTCCACTGTAGGGATATTTTCAAAAAGGAAGTAATCTTAATTCAGTTAGCCATTTAGATATCTCTAGCCGGTTTTGACTGAGAAGATGAACTCTACAAGAAATTTGATGGGATGGCAGAGGGGTGAAATGTGTGAAACATTCATTCCAGTCTCATTAATATCTTCTTATATTTTCCTCTTTGTGTTGCCATGGGATTCAGCAGACCAAAAATCACAACAAGCATCTCAACTTTACCATCCCTTTCAATGCAACAGAAATCAGATCAAGCTGACAGCAACAATGAGTTCCAGACTTAGAACTCATGCAAAACACTAAACTCTCCATATGTATGCGTATGTATGTGCCTGTGTGTGAGCAGAATCAGCAGCCTAAACGTCCAAGGCCATGAGAAGGGGAAGCTGAGAGGTAAGAAATGGATGAATCTCATTCTCTCACTTCAGAGTCCTGGCAATTCCATGCTGGTTCAGCAACACCCACCTCGCTCCGAGTCCGAGTGATCCGAGGAAATGGTAGATCCAATGCTGTCCATTCGTATTCGCTCTATCTCCTGAGGACCCTGTAGTTGTTCCAGTCTTCTCTTTAGGAATCTTTGTTCTCGTTCCAGGTTCTCAAGCTGGTGTTGGCTTCTCCTTTCAGCCTCTTCAAGTTTCTGACATGATCAAATAAAACACAATAATTAGTTTTCTCTGTTTCTCCTTCCCTCCCACCTCCACTGCCCTGCCACCTGCCTTGCTTAGACCTTCCCAGTCTCAGAAGGATTCAAGCTGCAAGTGCCCTGAACCAAGCTGCCGCGCAGTCTCCAAGCACAATGCCCTCTCCCCACATCTTTCCACCTCTCAGGTCCTGATAAATCATACCCATTAGTACAAAGAGTCTCTGAGGACTCAGCCTCTCCAGGGGAAACGCTGTGAATTGCAGCAGTCTGTGGGTCATTCTAGCCGGGATCAGACACCTGCATTACCGCTTCTGCCCACGCAGGGGCCTCAAACCCCCAAACCATCTACTCCAGGGTTTGTTACCAGCTGCTCCAACAGAAAAACGTGCCCTGGGAGTTCTGTGTTCCTTACTGCATGGTTTAGAAGGATTTCTCAGAAACAGTTTTCTATTCAGTGAGTGATTTACATAACCTACTACAGATTTCTTTGATCACAGCTGGGAAATCTACCAGGGCACTGTTCTTTGTTTCCTATGACAAGCATATTGCATAAGGAGGAGTCATTTCAGGCTAACTCTGTCCCTTTGGCAGCACTTTTCCTCCCTCATCACCCATCTTCTCTCTCTGTATCCTGACCTGCAATGAAGTATTTCAGCCTCTCCCAGATTCTGACAATGCTGCATTTTCTTTTCATGTCTCACTTTGCCAAAAGTGGAGCTAAAAGAGCGCTGGGCTAGCTGGAAGGTTCACACATGGAACTCCAGCAAGCCAAACCTGTCTTCACACTCTTGTGGTTTGTCCTAATGCTTCGGCAGTGGAAACTCACTAGCACACCAGAAAAAAAGCTGCATTTCCCATCAAAATGCAGTCATTCAACAGTAGGTATGTTTTTCTTTAAAGAGATGTAGCTGTCAACAAATGATCACAATACAGAACAAGATCCTTGCTCTTCAAATCCATCATTTTTGTAGTTCATTATGAACTCTTCCAACAATGTGGCTTGTGGCAATGATAAATGGCTAATCAAGGGGGCAAGGGCTGCTTGCTCCTTCATTTATTTATTTATTTATTTATTGACAGTGTCATGTTTCCTTCAACAAAGTTAACTCTAGGCAGCAAGGATGAGCAATTGCATTGCACTTCCCAAGAGGCCATGCTGAAAGCAGCAGGGTAAGGCAGCTCTTACCTTGATATGTGCTTTGGCTTTGTTGAGCAGCCCAAGCGTGGTGTGCCGGGTGCAGTCTGGTCCAAGCGGTATCAGAACTTTTAAGCGTTCTAGACACAGGCGGAGGTGAGCTCGGCTGCAAGGGGAGAACATGAGGATCAGAGCCATGCTTTCTGCAAGGGAATGTAATTTCTTTCACTTCTGCCCCTCTGCAAGGCAGTTTTCAGGTTTCCCTGTTTCCATGCATTACAAGACTCCCCTCAGGTACCAGCACCAGTACTGCTGCTAAACTATTTACACTTCAAACATCAGTTGCTCACCAATACTTGCATTATTGCTAACCTCTGACAGACACTGTTTATTTTCTTCCTCTCTGAACTGATAATCTGACTCATCTGGATAAACTTTGTGCAAAGGCACATAGGAAAATGGTACAAGTATCTCATGGGTTTCCACTCTCTCTGAGCTATTTGCTGTCTGTTTTGCTGAGAAGAACTTCCGGGAAAGCAGTTTTGAATGACTGCTACCCCCTGCATGCTTGTTCATTGCAAGCTCAGGGACATCTGCTATGAACTGACCTGAACACCTTCTTTATGCATGAAATTAAGATCATCAATGAAAAAATAGTCAATTCAAAACACTGAAACAATCCCTGGTGGCAATTAAAGGAGCGAGAGGAATAGTAGTTCCCAAAAAACTGCACTCTTACTCCTTCCTGAGACCAGGTCTGAAATGCTGCTAGGGGTGCAAGGTCTGTGGGAATGAGAGAACCCAAGACCTTCCCCCAGGCAGACTTCTGACCTTGGCTCACATCTACAAAGACAGGCTCCAGCACAACAGCACTGCTGGTGATATGATCCATTTTCTGCAGAATATGGCAGCTTGTTCAGTGGCAGTGGCAACATGCATTGTCCTCAGGCTGCAGAGAACTGTTCCCACCATCTCCTCCTATGGATCACATATGCAGGGATGAACAGTAGATTTGTGGAAAACTATCGAGTGTGGGTTGCCTTTTTCCCCTCCCTCTCTCTTTCCCAGACATTAATGATTTATGTCCAAAGTTGTCATCCCAATCAATAACACAATGACATCAGCTTTACCATTCACATGCAAGAAACACCAGTGCAAAAGACTCTTGAAAGCCTATCCCAGCCCCTGTTCATGCACAAAGAAACTGAATCTTAGCCTGATCCATCTCAATGCAGGGGAAGAAGAAGAAAAAAAAAAAAAAGAAAGAAAAAAACCAGTATGGACAGTCCATTTCCATTTGTTTTTCAAATGCACTATTGCACCCAGTTTGAAAGGGGTGGGGGAGAGGAGTCTGTAATCAGGCAATTATGCCAGTGACAAGCAAGGATGATTAAGGGTGGAAGGGTCAGGGGTTTTGCTGATGAACTGTCAGCACAGGGGAGTGTTCACCGGCCCCGCTGTAGCTGTGAGCTCCTCACAGTTTCTACCATAAATCTCTTTACAAAGGGTTCATCATTCTGTCTCAATAACAGTCACAGGGCTGCATACGACCAGCAAGAGCCTTGAAGAAAACGTGTTTTCCATTAAACATTAACAAATACAGGGGTGGGGAAAGGGAAATCATAATCCAAAAATCAAACTGAAAGAACAGTAATCACATCAATCTCATCTTTTGCTTCTCAGCTTGCTCTAGGGTAAACCCCACTGTTATTAAACCCATATGGTTGACATGGGGGGATTTCTTTTACCTGGAAGCCAGTTTTCCACACAGAGCTTGGTCAGGAATGTGCACTCACTACAGGTGTTTGCCCTGTGTCCCATGATAACCGAAAGGGTAAGCAGTAAAAAAGTATTGCTAGTTCACACTGGCACTACAGTTCGTGTCATGCCTCAGGAGACTGGACACTGACTTGCACAGAAATGAAGAGGAGCAGGATCTTGTGGTCAAAGACACTTTGGGGTTTGAAACCTATTTTTGGATATGCCATGGACTTCCTGAATGTCCACACAGGCAAGTCACTGAGTCAGAGCTGTCAGAGCACAGCCATCAAGCTGCAGCACAGAGCAGCATGTGTCTCCTCACAGCACAAGGACCAGCTCCAACCACACACTTCACCTATGGATTAGCCCAAGTAAAAAACACAGCTCAGGCAAAGCTCAGCTCTGGGGGCTCCACCTAACAGCAGATTGCTATGTACCACAGATGTGGAGACAGCTCCCAGCCCACAGTGAAAAGAAAATTATTTGTGTAACAGGAAAAAAAAGTTTGGGAATCAACATCTAACCTGTGGCAAAGATATCACAGTCTGCTCCTGAATGCAGAGAGAAATGGACAACACATCTACAGCCTGAGCTTTGGGCTGATTCTCAGTACTGTGTTTTACCAGGAACTGGGAAGGTGCTGCACTAGGAACTGCAATTCCTGGAACCAGTGATCAGCTTCGGACAGAAGCAAGCACCGGCTGGATTGCTGAGACAGCGATCAAAAGGGTGGCACTGATCTGCCACGTCAAAAGCTGGGTTATATGCAGACTGAACAAGATCAACCCTGTTAAGCACCTGAAAGCTACAGGCAAAGGTCCAGCCATGTAATAAAACCCCAGACACTTGAAAAGCTTCCCATTGTGCTCCAGGACTGCAGTGGAGTGAAGGTTACTGCTTGTCCCAGGCTCATGCAGACCATTTTGAGAAGCCACTCCTGCCCATGGCTCTGCTGGCTGCTGGCCAAAGGCTGTGGCCTGCAGCAGGGGTGATGGCCTGTGCCAGCACACCAGGCATCAGGAGGGGCCACCTGCCTGGGACACGAGTGTGGTATGAGCTGATAAGCTCACAGTGGCACATAGCAGGACTTGGGCTGCAAGCACACTGCAGAGGCAGGTGGTGTTAGCTGAGCTAAGGCAGGTTTAGAAGAGGTTTGACCGAAGTCATTACTTCTGTGCTGCCACTGAATTTTCCCTTATTTTGCACTCGAAGCTGAGCCACACTGGGATAGGAAGAAGCAACTAAGCCTGCAAACTGTCCTGGCATGTGAGCACATTGCTTTGCTTCAGAGAGATCAAACTGAACAACTTACCCAGCTTTTACCCCTCCGCAGCATTCAATAACTTCCTTACCTTTTTTTATTTTTAAAATCTAACCCAACCACAGTCCTTGACCTCTCTTAACTTCCAATAGTCCCAGTGGACCATGATGGGTTCTTAAACCACAGAGCACACACTACAGGTCTGACACACTGTTGGGTGCATCAGAAATAAAACTCCAGAGCCCTTGGAGGAGATGGAGTCACTGCTCACTGGACTGGATGTGGCACAGAGAGCTATGGTCTAGCTGACAAAGTGGTGATCGGTCAAAGGTTGAACTCAATGGTCTTGAAAGTCTTTTCCAACCTAAATGATTTTGTGATTCTTCGAAAACCATCACAGAAGACTTAGCTAAAAGACCATTTCAGAGAGAAAGCAATCACAAAGCCATTAATCTTTCTTATCAAGTCCTGGAGCTACCCCATGGCAGCTGTAATTCCACAGGTCAGGCCATGATGCGAGTGTCTTTTCCCCTTGTTTACCTGGACTCTGTTGCAATGTGGCTTTGACAATGATGCAGGCTCTTGTTTTCAATGAAAATACCAGCATTGTGCAGCCTCCAGACAGAGCCAGACAGCTTTCCATGTAAACCACTGGATTATGCCAATATTTGACGCATCTGCCAATATCTAGAAAAACAAGTCTAAAAGCCCATATTGTTATATAACAGAGAAACAAGGCAGGCTTGGTGCGAAGGGCTGCTGCCTCTTGCTCTCTTGATCCTGAGGAAGCCAGAGGATGCCAGAGGGTGAGAAGGAGAATTCCAGTTTCAGCAGAGGCTGAAGCCTTTGCATGCTAGCTGCAGGGGAGATGGGAGAAGCTTGAGCCCTTCCTCCTGCCAAAGTAGGAAAAATCAGGCTCTCGCAGCAGCATCCTAAGCACACTGTAAGTGCTTGATGTTGAAAGAGAAATCTTTGAAGTATTTGAAAGAAGGGGGCTTTCCACTTTCCCAAGGGGTCTGCCTGGTCCCCTCTTCCTGCTCAGCTTGATGAGAGGGAACTCCTGTTTGAGATTCCCATGTTGGGGGGCATTGGGATGTCCAAAAAAGGAGCAGAACACCTGAGAGGTCTCAGAAATTCAGAGCCAAACACAAGCCCTGTCCCAAAGAGCAGAGGATCACCCTTTATCTTGCTTCACCTGGCCACTCTGGCTAGGACAGAGGCCTGTTGTTGCTTGTGCTTCCTCCCCTGTGTGCAGACAGGAGGAGACTAGAAGCAAGTTCCTCTGGGATGCAGAGGGCAAGCAGGGCAAGGATGCCCTCTCTTCTCTGCCAGGAGCTGCAATGGGCCAGGAGACTGCAACAGAAGGATGAGAAAGCTCAGCAGCCCCATAGCCCTGCCAGCAGATCCACAAGGTGTGTGCATGTGGAGGAAGGGAGTGCTGGCCCTTGAAATGGCAGCCCCAGTGCTGCTCACTGGGCACCTGCTGTTCTCCCTGCCTTCCCTTTGTGCCTGTGCAAGAGCTTCTGACTGTATCTGGATTATCTACTTCTACCCCCCAGCTCCCCTTCAAAGTCCTCTGTCCTGAGCCTGTATCAGAAGGGAGTCAGGCTCTTGCTCTGTGCAGCCCCTGCTGGCACTTGGCTCTGCCTGGCTGCAGAGGGCTGTAATTTCACAGCCTGCTCTCCTCTCCAGCTCACAATGACATCACCCACTCTGATTATATAAAGCACAGGGAGGAAGCCTTTATTTATGCGTGCTTTTTGCTCATAGCTTCAGCTGTCTCAGTGTACAACACACATGCAAATCCCACTGCAGGAACTGGGCTCTCTTTTGCCTCAATCAAAACTGCACTGCAGAAAAAGGTGTGGGTGAAAAAAAAAGAAGTCTCTGTTTCCTTCCCTCACACCTCTGAATATATTTTTGAGGAGTTTTGGTAGGAATCAACCTAGCACAACACTCTGCACCATAGCAAACTGGGCACAAAGCCACCAGCTTCCTCCCTGCCTGGGAAGTCCCCAGAGAGCTGAGGGACCTTTGCTGGCAGTTCCAAGCCGTGTCTCTGCTGGTCATGAAGTGGCTACACTGGGGCTGGAAACCTAACCCCCTAACAATGCCTGACAGGGTCCCTGCAAAGGCCAGCCCAG